GCTGGGAAGGCGGCGCTGCCCGCTAACGGAGCGCTCCCGCCAGCCCGGCTCTGGAGGCTGCTGAGCTTCACGGTGGCTCTGCCCGGGGTGGCCGTGTGCATGCTGAACTGCTACCTGAAGGGACACCGGGAGCACGAGAGACCCGAGTTCGTCCCCTACGCTCACCTCCGGATCAGGACCAAGGTACGTTCGCCTGCTCTCTTTGTTCCGTGATTGCAGTTCCGTCTGAGGTTGCTGCGGCATCCCTTCCTTTCCTGTCCGTTCTGTGAGGTGCTGCGTTCACAGTTCTGATTTTCACTCATGCTTTTGGTTTTGAGGCAGCAAAAGGGTTCCTGCAGCTCGGATAAGTACCTGTGGTATTCCCAAGCCTTCCCACCTCTCGCTAACCCTGCTAATTAATGTCTTGCTGAAAAGCCTTTTGGTCCTAGAGCTGCTTAAACTCACACATACCTCTAAAAGCTAACAAAGGAGATCCCAGATTCCCCAAACTGGGGTCCCTGTAGTGTAGCACAGTTGATGTTTAAGTAAGAGCAAGGATGTTGACTAGAGACAGTGGCCCCCAGCTACAGGCGGCTGCTTTCCAGCCCTTGCAGCCTGGGGCAGGTGCCAGCTTGCTTCATTCATCAGCCTGTCAGGCTGCGTAACCTTCGAGTCCCCGTCGCTGTTGATTCCTTGTGCTGCCACTGGCTTATTTTCTTTCTTCTTCCAACAGCCTTTCCCCTGGGGTGACGGGAACAAAACTCTATTCCACAACCCCCATGTTAATGCTCTCCCAACCGGTTATGAAGATGAAAACTAAGATCCTGACCACAGCCAGAACTTTGGCTCTTCCCATCTTGGACCAGAATGTTGTGTGGGAACCACTGTTAAGGGAACCATCATTGAAGAAACTCAACATTCCTTGTACAGCGAAGCTGAATGGCCATGTGGCCTCAGTCTGTACTTGTGTAGGGGTCCTTTAAATAAACAACTCTGAACTTGAGTTTCGGATCTGATTTTTTTGTTAATTTGAATCCTCAGAAGTTCTTTATTTCAGTGTTTTCTTAAAACAATGAGGCTTCCCACAGGATACAGTGCAGGAGCAAAGGGGTTTGAGTGCCTGAATCTGCTCCTGTGCCTGGTAACGCTAACAACAGGAACACATCCAGCATAGGACATTACTCAATCTCATATTCTTCATGTCTGGTTTAGCTGATCACTCAGCTCACCACCATATTAACAAGTATTAGGCTAATACCACAGATTAAAACTCAGTATATACTGAAGCACGTTCACTGTAATCGGCTATTGCAACATTTATTAACACTCATTAAGGCAATTTTCTCTTAGCCCCCTCTTGGAGAGGGAGTGGCAGCAAAGATGTTTAATTAAGCTGTGTGCCTTCGCAGCATTAACCTTCAGCTCTCAAATATTCTAGTGTATCAGCACACAGGCTGCTCACAACTCTCGTTTTTCATAAAAGTGCACTCTGATTGTAAAGAGTCTCTCATATAGGTATTAAAAATGAAAAGACAATTTTTATCCACTGCATATGTCTGTATGATGTATCCTGTGTCACGTGGAAGCTTTTTAACCTCAAAGAGCTTAATTATTTTTCATAGCTAACAGCAAACTACAAACCCTGAGCCTATTCTAGTGCAATATTAATTTTGAAGCTTTTCGTCTCTGCAAGTCAACCATTTTCCCATTCCTTTGCAACTCCTGGGTTTTGTTGCATGCTGTGAAAGAGAGCTATGTCTTCCCTGTCACTGTTTCTCCCAAAAGGAAGAATGCAGCAGCTCACCTTGCTGCTGACAGAAGTGATGGGTGGCAAGTGAGGATCTCAAAGGGGGCATGCTAGGACACCCCTCCCCACATTTCAATGCAATGTATTTCACCCATTTAGTAGTAAAATGACTGCCAAGACAAGCTTTTCTGTGTTAAAAGCACAGAACAAGGCACTAATGGGCACAGCTGTTTCCAAGCTGACAAACTGGCACTACATGTGTTCCTACACTGGGAAGGACAGCCCCTGCCTGCTGCACTTCCTGACCTGCGCCACTCTCACAGGCCCGCTGGACGGGATGGACCCTGATCCCTTCCTTCTCTTCCAAACACCCTTTTCCTAGTTGCTGCAAGTGTTTCTGCAGGTTACAAGCCAGCACAAATAACATTAATTCACTCTACTAGGTGTCAAGTACACACAGTTCATGAGCAGCCTGGTGAGCAGGCGAGATCCTCACGCAGCAGCTGGGCCTTTAACATGATCAGCTGTCGAGCTTCAGCCCAGTGTTTCCCTCATTCAGCACACGCTTTAACTACCCCAGGCCAAAGCCAGTGATGACAACAGGAATCATGACCAGCCTCGTGCTGGTGTGGAAAAGGATGGCCAGGGCTGCGCTGCAGTTTTACTGCAGGAATACATAACGCTAAAGGAGAGGGAATTCAAGTTCAGGGTTGTTTCAGTACCTCAGAAAAGGCCGAAGAAGTAGCCTCTGTAGTAAAAGTGTCCACTTCAGCTTCTTTTGCAGGCCACGTCTGTCCCTTCTAGAGGTCACAATCAGATTTTACTGGACAGTTATCTACTTGAACAAAATATAACCTGGTTATATTTATTTTAGCTAAGTTATTGCAGGTCCAATAGAGTGTTTTTATACAGTCTCTGTTGCTGATACAAAACAGTGCTTTAGCCCCAAAGCATTCAGAATCATATAAAACAAATTTCTTCCATCAAAATTCATCAGCATACAGGTGAGACAAAGTAAATCAGCCTCCTTCATACTATTTTTAAATACTTTCAAGTGTTATATAAATAAGCAAGAGAAATTGGTCACAAATCAACTACTATCTCAGCCCACTCTAAGAAGCATTCTCCTGTTATAAAGTACATTCAACAGGAAGTTAGTGGCCTTTTTTTTTTTTTTTTGGTAGCTGTTTGTTTTTACAAGCACAGAAGATTCCTCGCTTCCCAGAAAGCAGCTTAACAAAGGTCTCATCCAGGTGGTATCTGGCCTGATGCCTGGTGACGCTGCTCAGTCCAAAGGCTCCCAGGAGTGACTTCATCCCTACGGTGGAGGTCAAGAGGAGTTTTCAGTTTTGCCTTTGCTTGGCCCCATGAACTCCAGGCCTTCAATGGGTATCTCCTTTTCCTTGATTGCTTTCTGAAAAGAAGAAAAACATAACCAAAAAAATTAAACTTGACATGTCTTTATAGTGCTAAGTGATGTAATCTCTGGTACAAAACATGACCTAGAAAAAGTAGTCTTAAGGCTTGTTTGGATAAAGCTTCAATATCAGCGATGCTCGAGCATGTACTGAGAGCTCACACTGAGTTACCCAAACGCACCCGGCCCCCAAAACAGCGGGCTCAAGAGTTACGTGAGACACCTGT